TTTTTTTTTTTTTTTTTTTTTTTTTTTTTTTTTTTTTTTTTTTTTTTTTTTTTTTTTTTTTTTTTTTTTTATAGATGGAAAAAACTCAGACTGCTTCTTCAATTTCTATAGGAACTTCTGTTTGTTTCTGTGGAAAATGGGAGATTTTTCATCCAGGATGTAGCTTCTTCGATCATTATTGTTATGATTACGATTTTGATTATTATTGCCATTCTTTCTAAATAAATTCTTAACTAATAGTTTTGTTTCTTTCAAGAGAATAGCCATTGATGAAGGACAAGTCAATTCCTGGTAATCGCAGGAGGTAAAAATGTTAGAAACCTGAGATTACAGTAATGTAGAGAGGCCCGAGATTTTGTTGTTCTATCGAGTGAGATCTTTAGATTGTTGTTGGTGCCAAATTCAATTATTGGTCTCTCTTTCTCGGATTTTGATACCATTCTTTCTTTGTTCTTTAATGGAAGCTTGGTTGGATAGGTGAGAGAGGAGTCTCACCTTCGTTTGGCTTAATTAAGGGGAAGATTATGAGTATATAAGTAAAAAAGATACATTTCTATTGACATGAGGCAGGTTGGAAAAATTAAAAATATAAGTATAAGTTATGAAAGGTTATGTTCGAAGTGGATAATATCATACTATTGCTAATATACTTGCTTTTATTGAGAGGAGTCTCACATTGACTTAATTAAGGGGAAGATCATGAGTTTATAAGTAAAAAAATACATTTCTATTGATATGAGGCATGTTGACAAAATAAAAAATAAAGTTATGAAAGCTTATGTTTGAAATGAATAATATCATACTATTGTAGAGTGTTGTGAGAGTGTTGTGGTGTCTAATATGCTTACCTTTATTGAGACAATGTCATACTATTATGAAGTGTCGGTTTCTAATATGCTTGCCTTTACTAAGCTTGATGTTAAAGAAGGATGTAGCTTGATATTAAAGAAATATGTAGATGTTAAATTACAAGTGTAGTTAGGTTCACGTATAAAAATTTAATTTAATGTCCGATAAAATTATGAATTTTTAATTTTAGGTCTAAAATATAATCTAAAAAATAATATCTAAGTTAAAGATTTATTAAATAAGAGGTAATAAATTTGAAACTTAACTTATATTAAAAAAAATCACAGTTCTTGAAAATATATATGACATTACCATGGATTCCACAATATTATAAATGGAATCTTGAATTTTTTAGATTTAGTTTTGTTGAAACTATTATTATTATTATTTTGAAAATTTTGAAGCTTAAACATGAGATTAAGTCTTTACTAATCATCACGTCAACGCTTTTATTTAATTTTTGTAGATAAAAAAATGTAAAAAAGAAATAGAGCCCAGGCCCAATAGAAATTGACAAAATAAATAAATGGGCCTTTGAAGAGCCTGGGCTCAATAGAAATTGACAAAATTAATAGATGGGCCTTTGAAGAGCCTGGGCCCAATAGAAATTGTCAAAATAAATAGATGGGCCTTAGAACCGGGTATTAAAAATGGCGCCCATTTATTACTCATCAATTTAAATTTCCATCCCTTTTTCTTCCCGGCTTCCACTGGTAGGGTTTCTCCTTTGCCAGAGGGGCAAAAAAAAAAAAAAAAAAAAAAAAAAAAAAAAAAAAAAAAAAAAAAAAAAAAA